TGATATCCTGGTTGCATCTACAGATGCGGAAGAACATTTTAAAAACATCTGCGTCAGATTTTCACTCGCCTTAAAGATCATGGATTAAAACTAAATCCATCCAAATGTGTACTTGGTCAACCCTCAGTTTCCTTTCTTGGATGTCTTATTACCCAGAATGGAGTTAAACCTTTACCGGAAAGAGTCAAAGCAATTAACGACCTACCTCAGCCCAAAACCTCTCTCTGAACTGAAGCGTTTTCTAGCAATGTTAAATTTCTACCCGACGCTTTCTGCCAAATGCCGCAAAAACACAAGCCTGCCTACATGAGTTTCTGAAGAATAGCAAAAAAAAAAAAACGATCAACGAGCTGTCCCTTGGACTGAATCTGCATCTGCAGCATTCGTGCAATGCAAACACGATCTGGCAAATGCAGCCACACTTTCTTATCACTCACCTAGTGATCAAGCTCTCTATAATGGTAGATGCATCTGACACGGCCATAGGAGCAGTGCTTCAAGCCCATACCACTAAGGACTTCAAGCCCATACCACTAGGAATCCACTAGAGGACCTTTCCCCAATGGCATTCTTCTCCAGAAAACTTACTACTGCAGAAAGGAAATACAGCACATATGACAGAGAGAATATACTTGCTGTGTACTGTGCACTGTGCTGTTAAATACTTCCGGCACAACTTGGAAGGACACGACTTCCAGTCATTAAAATGTTTATCATTTTCACTGATCATCGACCATTAACCTTCGCTTTTAGAAAAAACCTCTGACTCATGTTCTCCTCGTCAGCTTCGACATCTGGATTTCATCGCCCAGTTCAGTACAGATATCAGATATGTCTCTGGTACTGATAATTGTGTCGCCTGATGCCTTTGTCTCGGGTAAACAATAATCAACCTTCAACTACCCCAGAATTTCTCTGAAATTGCAAAAGCTCAATTGCATGATGAGGAACTCAAGAACCTAATCTCAATCCACAAACCTCCCTTCAGTTAACAACCAGCTGCACATTGATCCAACGCTTAAAAATTTACTGTGACATAGAGAACAATAGAATATACGTCCCTATATTCCTGTCAATTTTAGACGTGAAGTGTTTAATGCCTTGCACAATTTGGCACATCCTGGAATCCGTGCCACCAAAAAGCTGATCACAGACAGATTTGTCTGGCCAGCGATGAATCAAGACATCACAGAATGGACTCGTTCATGTATTAGATGTCAACGGTGTAAAGTAACCCGTCACACTCACAGTCCCATTCAACAATTTAACCTTCCAGCAAGACGCTTTGATCATGTACACTTAGACTTGGTTGGCCCATTGCCTCCTTCAAATGGTTACACTTACCTCCTCAACGTATTGATCGGTACCCAAGATGGCCTGAAGCCATTCCTATTGAAAATATATCCGCTGAAACTGTAGCTCGAGCATTCATCTCCCAGTGGCTTTCAAGATTTGGCATGCCTACCACCATCACTACTGACCAAGGCCGACAATTTCAATGTCACTTGTTCGCATCCCTCACCTCTCTTCTTGGCATTCGCCATATTCGCACAACACCATACCATCCATCTGGAAATGGGATGGTGGAACGCTTTCACCGATCTCTCAAACAAGGTCTGAAGTGCCACAGTAGCACACACTAGACAGAAGCCTTATTCCTAGTCTTGGTCTTCGCACAGCATTCAAAGAAGACATTGGTAGCACTTGTGCTGAAATGTTATATGGTGCAACCCTCCGTCCTGCCGGGCGAATTCTTTTCACCCAGAATCTACTCCAGTTATCGACCCTCCAACATTCCTTCAACGTTTACGTGAGACCATGAGCAATATCTCGCCAACCCCAGCATCTTCGCATAACCAAGCCAAGCTATTTTGTACATCCTGCGCTTGAGACATCTTCGCACGTATTCGTGCGCCAATGATGCAATTAAGCCAACTTTAACACCTTCATATGATGGTCCATTCAAAGTTGTCAAACGAACACCGAAACATTTCACCATCATCTGCAATGGCAAACAATCAGTGATTGGAATCGATCGTCTCAAACCAGCATTTCTAATGCAAGATCCAACAACTTCCTCATCATCAACATCACTCCCGGAAGAAAGCTTACATCCCGTAAAAGAGCAACCTAAAACTACCAGATCTGGAAGAAAGGTTAAATTTAACCCAAAGTACTTATAACGTACTGATGGTACTTGGGGGGGGAGTACTGTGGCATTCCGACAGATACTTCAACTTCTATTCATGAGATGGCGCCACGTGTAAAATCCAGTTCTTAATCGGAGCAGCAAAGCGACATCTTTACTCACTCAGACTTCTCGTGAGACAACTGTACGCGACGGTAGCATGAACTGTGTTCCGAGCTCTGTGTTGATCTCTGCAATGTAATTTAAATTGTAATTTAGTACTTAATATGTTCTTTTGTTATAGGAGATTGTCTACTCTTATTTTCTTTAATTATATCATGCATTAAGCACACGCGACCACCAAATATATATTCAAAAATATTGATTTTATATAATAAAATTCTAACACAAGTTTTATTACACATCAATAAATTCTAATTTTGCCAAAGTTTCATCATATGAGTACTTTTTTATCTCTTTGGGAAAAATGAATTGTCATGCACAGTCTTCGCTACTTCAACATAGTGTTGATGGAAGAATTTATCTGAGAAATGAAATACCATATAATTAAAAATTTAAATCTACTATATACGGTATTTGCCGGCATATACGATGCACATACATGTTTTATACACATTTTTGAAGGATAAAACTTTATTACTGATCATTATAATGAATTTACAGTATTTTAAACATAAAGTAATACAAATACAAAGTAATACTTTCTGAAGAACACTTTTTATTCTTCTTCATCAAAACCCAGACACTCATCTCCTAAATCCGTCAAGTTCTTATTTTCTCAGTTGGGGGTGGTGGCCTGAAATGCCTCTCTGCAGGTCTGTTTCCATGTTCTTTAGCATACGCAATCACATGTAGCTTGTATACTATATTATAGTAATGCCAACATTGCTTTTGAACCATAACTTGCCAATAAATTTAAGAAAATTGAACAGTAGAAATTTCGCACACTTTTAAAAGTTGTTCACAAAAATTGGAAAGTTTGAGCAAACGATCTGTAATAATCGATGATAGCGCATGCGCATTCACTGAATTCTACGTAACTATAATATAACCACACTCTGCAAGGAAAAAAGAAAAAATTACATAACTCCAAATAGAGGAAATTTCCAGGAATGAATGTAATCAAAAACTGAGTTTCGACTTATGAGATGCAACATCGACGTATAAGACGTACCCCATTTTCAGACCTATTTTCAAAGAAAAAAATGTGCAATGTGCATCTCATATGCCGGCAAATACGATAACTTTGATGTGTTCCTATATTTAATTAGTAGTTTAATGTGAGTCATATATGTAGAAGGATATGTGTATATGCATGAGTATTTTAAACGTTTCTATTAAATATATAATTTACTAAGACTGTAGATCTGTGATTATCATAGTGTAGATAGAAAAAAAAAGTATAAACTTTCTCTTTTTTAGTTATATATATCTGTGTGTGTGTATATATATATACATGTATACACACATACATATATATATACAGAATGTACAGTAAATGTTTCGACAAACTTCTAGGGAAGGTAGGGCGTAGCATATCCTAAGGATTAAGAATTGCATAGGATACCCAGAAATGTCAGGGGTAAGTGGTAGCAGAAGTTGAAAATGGGAAAGGGAACAAGAGAGTGGTTAATTTTAAGCATTTATTGGGCATGAATACAAATGGTGTTTCAACAGGTTGAATATTGCAATAGATGCTCAAAGTTTGCACCATCATGGGCCAAACATGCCTGACACTGATGGACCATTGATTGCTGAACATGCTCAAACACACTGGGAGTTTCTTTGATTGTAGCAGCTGTGCAGGCGAGTCTTGCCACAAGATCCTTTCAGACACGACAGGATCGTGATACATGACACTTTTGATGGCTCCTCACCAAAAGAAATCAAGGTTCGATAAATCCGGTGAGCATGGGGGCCAGGGAACTGCTCCACCGTGCCCAGCCCATTGATGCGGGAATTGGTCTGTTCAGATGTCTACGAACATCCAGTCCAAAATGAGCATGCACCTCCATCATGTTGGAATCACATGTTCCGCCTCATATTTGGTGGAACATTGTCAAGCAAGCAGGGAAGAACTTGCTCTAGAAAGATCAGGTAATTTGCAGCATTCAGCCTGTATGGTAAAAGATATGGCCCGTCTAAGCAGTCGACGACCAAACTCAGCCATACATTGAACCGTTGTTGTGCTGTGTGGTGCTGCACACGGTGGGGGTTTTCTTGAGCCCACAAATGCTGATTGTAGTGATTGAAGAAGTCATCTCTGGTGAATGTACCCTCATCAATGAACAGTGCATATGCTGAGAAATTAACATCACGGGCAGTTTCTTGCAGAAACCACTGTGCGAAATGCACACGTTCAGGATAGGCATTGGGGAGCAGTAACTGAACGCTTTGAAGACGAAAGGCGTGGAAGGACTAGGCGTTCAAGACATGCTGAATACTGGTATGAGACATTTGTAATTGAAAGGCAATGGCATGTATGCTAGTCCTTGGATTACTCTCCACTGTATCCAATACATTTTCTTCCCTAATGACAGAGAGAGAGAGTAATCTTAATGATGTGCCCTGCCTTCCCTAGAAGATTGTTGCAACATTTACGGTACACCCTGTATATATATATATATATATATATGATTATTAAGTAATTGTTTATAATTATATATATATTTATGGAATTTCATCATTATACTATTTCATTCTGCCTCTTTTATTTCACAGGCGTTGCATGCATATGAGTTCTTATAAATTGTTTTTCTAAAAATTGAATCATGGTGTTAAAAGGTTTTGGACTAGCCTTTTGTTTTGTATATATTGCTTTTAAACAATTTTTGCCTATTTATTGCTACAGGTATTTAAATTATTCTTTGGATAAGAATAAAATACGACCCCAAGATACAACTCTAGTTATTGCCGTTGCTGCTCGTAATCCTGTTGGCCGCTTATTAACATGGAGATTTGTACGCATGAATTGGCCTCAACTTCTAGAAACGTATGTAAAATTCATGTAATAATATACTTCTTTAGTTGATATTATTGTAATTCTTATGCTACTGTTTAAAAAAAAATTATGCATTTCATATCTTTAAAAATTTATTAATTTTACAAATATTTTATTAATTTACTAAAATAATGAATTTTTCTTTTACCTTCATGTCCCCATGTTCACCACTTTGATATCTGTAGTAAATCTTATATATACTTAGGTTACTTAGATATCTGTGGTATATCTTAAAGAATATTTCTTTTATCTGTGGTTTTCAGCAGGACAAGAAAAAAATAATTATTTATATTTAGGAAAGTTATAGTGATGTTCATGTTAAACTCATCTAAAATATGGCCATTTTTTATGAACACAGTCAATTTTAATAATCTGAACAAAAAGTGGTTTAGACTCAGAAGAGCTGTAAGAGTTTGCTGGTGACAGATAAGAATCTGTCACCAGCAAACTCTTGTAGTATCTTCATGGTAGAATCTGCTTTTTGATATTTTACATCATCTTGCTGTATTTTGGAATATGGGGGTTTTCCCCCTCCTGTTGTAAGATAATAAGTGTACCAGCTGCACGTGTGGTAATTTTGGCCACGGAGTTATTTGACTTTCTGGCAACCATGACTTATAAGGAAAACACTTCAATTTTAATGAAAATATTTCCATGAATGTAGCTCTTACAAAACTACAGTCAGGGGTATTACATTTAAATGGTGTTCAAAACCACAAAACCAGCTTTCCTCAAAAGACTCATCTGTCTTTTCTTTTCTTTCTTTTTTTTTTTTTTTAATCTGAAGAATTCATTTTCCCTTCCCAAGCCAAATTTTCTAGTAACCTCTTATATGTAATAAAACTCATCAAGAATTAGAAAACTATTGCAAATAAAATTAGCACAAAATTATGTGTCATTTGCAGTCCACTTTTAAGGCTTTAAGTGAGAAACTATTGCAAAAGTAAAAAAAAAAAAAAAAAAAAAAAAAAAAAAAAAAAAAAGTTTACTTTTTTTTTTTTTAATTATTATTATTATATTATTATTATTGTGCAGCATATATAAAAAATTGGTCATGATGTTGAAAGATTTTGGGAAACTCTTCTGGAAAAGATTAGTTAAAGTGTAGTATAGTAAGTAGGGTAACATGAGTTTATATTCAGAGTTGCAAAACATAAAATAGTTAAAAGAGCTACTATGTGTTGAATGTATGGGTTTTAATCATAATTTCTTCAATCCCAGCAGAGGGAAAATGAAGTTCACTTATGACCTGTGTCTTAGAAGCTTTTAATGACATTGTCTGCCGAAGTGTTCATTGCAATTAAGTCTATCATAAAAAAATCCTATAAAATCATTTTTTAATCAAAATATTTGGATTCTTAAGTGTATTGACTGAATTTCATTTTTCATATCTAAATTGAAAATCCTGAAACGAAAATTAAAAATAAGAGTATAATATTTCTAATTATGAGTATACATTAAGAACAATTTTTAGCTGCTAATAATGCAAAACTTTTAAATTCAAAATGACAATGTACATGATATCTTATTGCTGCATTTATATAAAAACATTTAAAGCACTTTTGCTGTGTAAAATATTTTTAAACTTCAAATTGCATATAAACTAGCATTGCATGTGAAACATGCAATGCTGGTTTATATATAGCATTTAATAAAATATTAAATAATGCATATAACAACAAGACTAACTCTCGAAACATTTTTCTCAATCATTTAGTTTCATGACATTGTAACATCTTTTGTGTTATTTTAAAATTTGTTATAAAGCATTCTGTTCTAGCTTGACAAATGGGATACAGTGGGGGCACATACAGGTACTAAGTACTGAACATGTGATTCAGTCCAGGTACAGTACAAGTAGAAGTGGACGGTACACCAGAAGTTCCTCACTTGGTTGTACAGATATAGTCTTGCTGCACTAACTGTGCAGTTCCACCCTTGTATTGAGAGAAAGGGAAGGGAACATTCAGAAAATCCCAGGGGAAGGGAACATTCAGAAGATCTCCATCCCTCTTCCTTTACCACTAACTTATCAAAAGGACTTTCAGCTCACTATAATTGAGTGCTACAATGGGAGCACTAATGGCTCATTGTTCCCATATCACATTTGATGTAATGGAGCTGTAAAGGCCATAATATTTCTAATAATGATGTATCAGAGTTGTTCAGTAGCCAAATAAGTTTCCCTCTGGTACACACTTGGTGCCTAACAGTTCATCTACAGAGGCTGATTTTGCTGTAAAGCTGCCCTGAGCTACGAAACCAATCAGAGAAGTTAAAGTAGATGTTGTAGTTTATATCTAATAGGAGTCCTTTATCATTCCCTGCATTTTATCAGGCCTTAATTTTTAAAATAAGTAGTAATAATAATAAACAGGAGGCTTAAAAGCATATGGAAATAACTGTGATTAAAAGTACTGATAACTGAAATAAAAGTATATTGCATATATATATAGTATATACAAAAATAAACAATATTAATTAAATATTAAATAATGATGAATGAATAGTGAAAAATTCTTGATAATTCTTTGGGATTTACCAAGAAGCATTATTTACTAATCATTATTTAACGTTTAATGAATATTGTTTTTGTTTGTTAATTTACTTGTGTTTTCAGCTTTGTTTTCCAAGTTTTGTCTTCAGTTGTTTTTAATTTGTGCCTTCTTGTTAGATAATTTGCCACAGTTGGTTGATATTGATTCTATAGTAAATCTGATCTTTTTTTAATTAATTTTGCAGCATGTTATGGAATGATAATAGTATTTATTAATTAAATATTTTTCAGTTTCTAGTCTATTTATATATTTTTGTTTACATAAAAGCAGAAAAATTTGATTAAATATAACTTACATTGCTGATAATTAAATTTATAATAAAACATTTTAAGTTTTAAGTAATAACGGTTTTAAGTAGATAAAGAGTAAGCTCTAACTTGCAACTTCCTAGACTCTAACTTTTTGGCAGCTGCATGGAGTTATTGAGCTAATTAGATTTTCTTGTGAAATCAAAAAATCATTAACTGTAGGAAAGTGGAAGTACAGATAAATGCAAGCAAAAGGTAAAATTGAGCTTTTTTAATTTATCAAATCTCTCAGAAAATAAGAATAGCAGTGCCAAATCCCTTAAACAGTAACAAAAAAGGTAAAAAATATATTGCTGTGTAGCCTGCAGTAATAAACCGCTTGTGTCAAAACTGAAAAGTCCTATCATGTATTAAAAAAATCTTTTGGAAATATCCAAAATAAATGTAATATCATAAATTTATCAAAATCATAACTAAACCTTCGAAACATTTACAGTATATTTACTAAGCAAAATACTGTTTCCAGAGCTGACATTTTTCTTTAGACATGTGATTTGCATATGCAGTTTCATTGGCTGTTACCAATTAAGATGCAGGCTATTTTGTTTCCTTTTGTGCTCATGGTCACTAATCATGGTGCAGGTGCTGATAACATGTGTCTGTTGTGCCAGCAGTATGCTTCCCTTTTTGGGTGGTCTGGTATAGATGTCAGAAAAACTTGTTTGGATATATGTTGCTTCATGTTGATAAGATGTAACAGAAAATTGAAGCATATCATGTATGATTTTGCCAGTATAACTAAAAAGAGATGAATGAAAGAAAAAGATTATTATAAAATAAAGAGGCTGAAAGAGCAGATCATCTAAAAGCAAGAGATGATTTCATATGATAAATGTTAGTATGCAGTTATATAGTTTGTAAAACTCACTCTTTATTTATTCTTTTCCTTTTCATCTAGTTATTCTTGTAATGTTTACTTCGATTTCAGTTTTGGTCAAGGATCCTTCTCAATGGATATGATTATATCTGAAGCTATATCCCATTTTAGTTCTAAATTTGATTATGATGAGGTTAGTATTTTTAAATCATTTTCCAAAACATTTTTCAACATCTTTTGTGAAATCATGCAGAATATTCTGTTTGAATTCTTTATCATATCTGTTTCACTTCCCTAAATTTAGAAAATATTTCTGTTTTATTACATTAAATACTCCATTTTTATATGTAATATTTCTATATTTACTTGTGTTTAAATTTCTAGGTAAAAAATTTCTTTAGTGGAGTAGAAGTGGGCCCTGGTATGCAGTCTCTGCAACAAAGCCTCGAAAGAATAAGAGCTAATATTCGGTGGCGTGAAAATACTGAAGCTTCTGTGATTCAGTGGTTGCAAAAAAATGTAAACTTTACTTAAGTTATATCCCATGAAATGTATATAAAATTATCTCAAAAGCACAAATAATATGGGAAGCTAAGTTAATGCTTTTTAAAATGCTTAACAAAACCTTTACCTGGATTATTTAATTTTGGAAATCAATTTATATCATTATATAAAAATGTCTTAGTTTTGTATAAGCATGTAAGTATGTTATTGTTCATAAAAATTATCAATATTTTTTTTTTCATTGTAACAAAGTATTTTGATCATATTATCAGAAATTTTAAATATTGCATAATAATAATGTTAGTAAAATCAAGGATTGCTATTTTAAAATTTAGACATCTGTCTATTTTATTTGAACTTTGGAGTGAATTCTAGTTTCACGATGTGCATAAAAAGATTTTTTTTAACTAGTGTTTAATTTAAATAGCATACTTACCATTAAAAATAAGAATGAATTTTCTTATTATGTGCACTTTCTAATTAAGTGAATATTTAGTAATTGATAATAAATAGCATTAATTTAAATTCAAATGAATAATTTCTTTTTCATTAATAATTTTTGCTATTATTCTTCCATTTACAAATATAGTATGCTTTTAAATTTAAGGTTAAGCAATTAACAATTTGACAAATACCTGTTTAGCTCTATTCTAAAGGTTGGTCATTGTTAAGAGTTGAAAACTTTTCATTCTGATCTTAATCTCAAGGTCTATATATGGTGTTATTTTTGAGTTAGTTTACCCAAGAAACTCCAAATATTTAATATCTGGATATTCTCACAAATCCAGTAATTAAGTATAGTTGAATTTGCTAATTCTAGGCTGTTTCCAGTAGCTAGCTTTCAGGAATTTCTGTTTTATTTTTATTTTATACATTTTATTCTGCTGTGCCATTTTATAATTAAAATCATTAATTATGTTGTATTTACTTCATTTAATATGTAATGTGTTTTAAAACATGTTTTTATAGTTGTAATAATCATTTACTTTTATTTAAGTATATTTACTGTGTTATATACATTATTCAAAAGATTGTTCTGCTTTTGTTGATTTTTTACAAAATAATTATATATTTTTCTGTATTGTATATGTCTAATTGTAGAATTTATTATTTAATTTATAAATGTATTTGAAACTGCTTTTTTGGTAGTATATTATTGTTATGGTAAATGATACTGAATATATTTTGTGAAGGCTAAATTAAATTATATCTTGAAACATATTTAAATGGCATATATACTGAAATTTTCATTAAAATTAGGAAAAAAATGGACATATAAAACAAATTGAATGGTATGCAATATTTCTCTATTCTGTGGACTTTCACCAAGGCCCACAAATGTTTCAAGACTAGTTGATCCACCATAAGTAACATTCCATTCTTCAGTTTCTATTACTAATTTATAACATAAGTTCATCTGCAGAGCAGGAATAATGTTTTGTAAGAAGATTTTCTGCTAGTGAACTTTTTATCTAATAATTAATCACTAGCTACTGTGGTTAAAGCTTATTCATGTAGGGGAAAATGTTACTTTCACATTCCCAAGCTTTGGGAGTTTGGGAGCATTCATAAATTCACTGACACTGATTCCTGAATAAAATGTCTTAGTTTTCTTAATTGAATCCTGCAAAAAAAAAATTTTTTTTTTTGTCTTTATTGCCATTGTGATGTTAACATGGTATATCTAAAATATGAAATCACTGATTGGTTGATGATTAACGGGGATAATTTTTCAGAATTATCAGCACTGCACTAAATTAGGATTGTAAAAAACTAGAGTTTTCAGTACTCTTGAAGTTCTTTGAGATATAATTCTGGATTTGATGTTGTCTTAAACTTGTCTTTAGATTTGCAAGTTTCACTAAGTTTAGCTAATGATGAAACCATTCTGCAACATTTCCTTTTTCATACTTGCAATTTCATTGCCTGTAAATTATTTGTAAGTATTGTGCAGCTATCTACTTTATTATAATTTCTCAATTCATCCATGATTCGGAGAAAATTTCTTTTTTCAAAAAATCTGTGTGAATGCAGGTTCATGTCTGGTAAATGTATTATAAACTAGAAACACTGGTAAATATATTAGAAACTATAAACACAAATATCTTTAAATGATTGTGCTATTGTTCTTTCTAGTTGATCATGTTATTTTTTACCCTGTTCAGTTTCTTGATGTGAATTCCTTATTCAGAAAGGTCCTATGTTAATGGCATATGTGTTTTCCAAAATCCCTTTTACAGCTGTTGCAGTAATTATGATATGTTCTGTTAAATTTCATTATTATAATTAGTAATCTCTTCAGATTTAGTGCATTAAATATGTTTGTAAGCTTCTGAATCACATTTGTTTTGAATGAAATTGATAGCTTTATTCTCATATCCATTTTTGAAACTGAAACACCTCTAAACTATTTATACCAAAGAAAGTGAAATGTTAGGTGAAAATGAGCACTTTTATCTGATGGAGGTAATTAGTTGTTATTAATTATTTTTCTGATTTTATGAAAAACAATATACAAAATTATTTTTTATTTATTTTTATTTCTATCTATAATTGGGAATTCCCCTCCTCCAAGATTTCATTTTTTCCCCTTTTTTATATTATGCTCATGCTTCTTAATTTTATGTGCAATATTTTTCTAATGCTGTTGCTTTATGATATTTTTTATTCATATACATGTGCTGTAAAAAATTTTAAAGTGTCTTAAAACATTAAACGTCTTGCAAATGCATTGAATCCCCTTTAAATATGAACAGCCACCCATGGTTCCAGATGATATTTGTCTTCCATTGAAAGGATCATTTTAGAGAGGTGGTGATGTTTACTTGTGCTCTCAGAAGTAGGAGTTATTATAAAGGAGATTGTTGCCACGAGTAGATTGACTCTGTTTGCAATTTCCCTAACTTGTTTAATCCAGAATTTTTTAATTACTTTCAATTTATAATGCATTTAACAAAACTCTAAAACTGTCAAAGCACATCTGTAATCCTAATATTCATTATACTAAACTACTATTAAGGTGTAAAAGTTCAGTAATTTGATTTTTACTTTAATAATAATATTTTTATTTTTTTAGCTATTGAAATGAATATCATACAGTAAATATGTCATTTACAAGAAATTATGATGAATTCAATTGATCTTTAAACATTGCCTTCTTTCTCTTTTTATCTTTATCCAAAATAAAGAAAAATCACATCTTTAATAATTCACTCTTTGATTAAAATAATTTCTTTTTGAATATTATTTTAGTGATTTCTGTATACAATTAGTATATTTGTTCCTAATGATCTGTTTTAGCATTATGTATGCAATCAGCCTCATTTCATTTCTTATCATTGTAAAATTTACTTTTTATCGTAAATATATAAAGTAACTCAAACTATAAATGTACGTAGAGAGGACCGAAATAAGGAGATTTTATAATGGAATGTGATCACAGATGTGGCATATGGAGGCGTTACAGGCAATGCTGGGAGCAGTAGGTAAAAGCATTCTGTTGACATAAGTCTTCATTTTCCATGCAAATTTTAAGTGGTATGCTTTTCTAAACAAACTTGCTGATGGACATTTGATGAATGGGCTGAGGAGAAAACAGAGTTACTTAAAGGTGATACAGAGAATGATTCCAAGTACCACCTTTGAGCAGCTGCTTCATTTCTGTCTGCAGCTCCACTGATAAAATACAATTTGGAGAGCTCTGTTTCATGTAGTGATGCATATCAACCATTCTCTCTGCAGGAAATGATGATTTACACTAGCAGAATGCTTTTATCTTCTACTCAACAGCACTCTGTACTGCCTCAGTGCACCTTTCTTGCACTCACATTCATTGCAAAATATTCTTAATTTGGTCTCATCTACTTGCCTTACATTTTTCCCAGATATTTTTAAACATCTTGTATATGTTACAATTGAAGTGATTAATCCAATGATATTATTTATAACTAGCTAATATTGACAATAACTGAATTAAATGAACCTAAAGCTTAAATGAATAGTTTATTGCATAGGCAAGTGATTATTAATAATCTGTGATTATAAATGGTAAAAATGTAATAAATTTTAATACATTCAATTTGAACTTTGTGCATGTGGTGTGCATGACAGTATATTTATTGCAGTGATGTAATTATCTGTGTAATCGTAGTGTCTTGTAGCTAGTCATTATGAAATCTGTTTTTATATTTTTAGAAGTCTGTATTAAGATAACAATTTTTATTTCACTGCAAGAAATCTAGAAATATTAATTCCTTTTCATGTGTTCTTTTGCTTTTGTATCAACAGTTGTTTATAATGCTTGCATCCATTTAGTAAAAATAGCAATGACTTTTTCCTTAAAACTGTCATGCCAATGAATTTCCATGGTAAAAGCTATTGACTTTTGATGCATTATATATTGGGCTGTTTTTTTATTATGTTTTTAATATTAATCATCTACTTTAATGTACTTTTTAGTTGCTTAACATTGAGGCTATGATTATATTAAGTCTGAAACCTGTATATGGTATATTGTTTTTAAATATTTGAAAATAAAATGATGTAAAAGTTTTGAAATACTAAGCTGAAAGTGTGAAATTTTTGTAATAGTTCTATGGGTTTTTTTTTCCTCAGATATCTTTATGTCTTTTTGCATGCTTAATTTTAGAATATGATCATGACTTAATTTTGATAAGGTACTTCAATGAGATAAATTTTAGTTTCTTTTTCTGATATGTGTGCTATTGTATATTTTATGTTAATACTTATCTAGTCAAATTTTGTATTAATATTCGTTCAGTCGAAAGTGTCAGATATGTTTGATGTAGTCTGTCTGAAAACTTAACTTTTAACGTATGTTATAGATGTTCTTTTATAGTACACATGTGTAAATTTGGTATAATATTCTACTTTTGGTATTTGAATATTTCACTTATTTTCAGGTGTTTTTTTTTAGTACAAAATCTGATTGCTGTTTTGAATAGTTATTTTGAATATTTGTGTTGATATCCATTTACTATCTGGTGATAATTATTGAAATGTTAGTATTTTTATTTATTCATTTATTCATTTTTGTAATATAAAAATAGTCATTTGCAAGTTTTGCTGCTTGACCACCAAGCTATTGGCAGCTAATTATGTAAAGTATTTTGCTTAGTAATTTTTCCAAGAATAGTGAATTCATTCTTAAGTAAGCTATTATGGATTATTGTGATTAATTCTAACATGAAGTATTTTTTATACCTAAATATTCTATTTTTAATTTATTTTGGAGTATTGAAAAGGGCAAAAGAGTTAAAAGTTTAAAGTGGTTAAATTCTAAAGAAATATATCTATTTACTTATTTAAAAATACATTATTTTTAAAACTATTTAATAAATCTTAAATGTGCATATATTAATGTTTAACATAATCTAAGACGTCTGTTGTTCTCCTTTTTTGATACTTCTTAATTTGCATGATTGTGTCTTATCAACATAACTACTAACATTCTGCTTGAAAATATTATGGGATTTTAATTCTTTTCATAAATTAAAAAACATATTAAATACTGTATTAAGCATGTACTTTTTAACTTAATATTGGGCATTTTATTTCTTTAATATATTTCCTGTTTTTAAATCTTTATAGAGGAAGATTTTTATGTTTTCAATTATTTAGTAGCCTCTTTTTTTTTTTTTTTTTTTTTTTTTTTTTGGATAAAGCAGTAGTAATTTTGTTTAATAGTTTTATTATTATTATTTACCAAATGAAATTTACTTACATTAGTTAGTTTAGTTGTGTGGTTAATATTCAAATTTAAATTTTTATTGTTTATATACTTACTCCATTTTGGTATACTTCTCAGCTAAATACTTCTCCTTTTTCTTATTATTTTAATGTTCCTGTTTAAAATATTAAAAAAAAGGGCATTAACTGGGCACTGAAAGCTTTAAATTCTGTACACAGTTTTATATTTTTTAAATGCATATATACTTATGTGTGTGATTATATGAGATGGTTTGAAATTGTTTTGCAAAGATGCCTTTGAAAACATTTTTTGCAATACTAATCTTATATATTTTGCAAAACTCTTTCATTCTGTGAGAAGTTGTCTTTCTTTATGTGTTAGCTGTTTTTTAAGTAGCTGAAATTTATTATGTGACATACATGTACAGGTCTGATTTATCACTTATTTTGTTGATTATGTTAAGTAAATAAAGATTTGCGCTTTTATAGTCTGTGTCTGAAATTGGTCCTTATTTTTTATAGTACTTGTATATGACAAAATATTATGTTTCTGTTAATTTAAATGATGCAAAAATATTTTTAAAATATGCTTTAAGAAGTTTAAACTAATTTAGCTTTAATTTAAAAAGCTTTCATATGAACCATAATTTTATCTGGAAGACAAATGAAAAAAATCCAGAGAGCCTTCAATCTTTCTGTCCCTTTTATATCAATGATCCCTACAGAACAAGAGAAAGAGGCTGATACACCACAACTTCGCCAGTCGTTCTGCAGGTGATTGTCCCTCCGTAATTTTGTGTACAGCTTCATCACAATTTTGATGGCAACAAACTAGGGGGGGGATGGATCCTAGGGTTTTCCACCATTCTTCCTTCTTCCTTATCAACAAACCTTTCGAAATCCAGTATTTTAAGTGTCCCCCATGCCACCCTAACACTAATAATATAATCAATCAGTTATTACAACTTGGTTCCCAAAGTTATTTCAACCAGTGTCGCTAACCACTTGCCAATAACATGTTGTAGTATTTTTCCCCTCCAATAAATTCTTGAACATATCATTGCACTGAACTAATGAGGGCCCAAATTATGTCCTGTGGTATCACACCTAAGTACTATTGATATGATCCCACAGTTCATCATCGCTTTGCGGAGGACAAGGAGGTATTGAATCAAGTACTCATTCTTTTGGCCTACTATTAAGCAAGATGTTAAAAAATTCTGTGAAAGTTGTAAAGAATGCCAATTGAGTTACGTACAAAGATCGAATCCCAATTCAACCTATTGTTAGACCGGAAACACACTTTGAAGTGTGGAGCGTGGATTGTATCGGGCCATTAGAACCTCCATCCAGGAGAGATCATCGGTTTGTGATATGTGCAGTTGACCTATGCACCAGATGGGCAGAAGCCACCCCCCGTCAAAGACATAAGTGCGAAAACAACATGCAACGTTTTGATGAGGCTTTTTACTCAAACTGGATTTTCAAAAGTGATTTCTTCCGACCAGGGAACTAATTTCACAGCCAAACTCACCCGAGCCTTTGAGAACTTACTTGGTGTTTCTCCACTCCAGGAGTATGGGTGCTGTCGAGCATTGGAATAGAACCTTAAAAGAGATGATGAACAAAAATATCCAAGAACATGGCAGAAAACTGGGATTTGAATCTTCTCTATCTCCTGTTTGCCTACAGAGAAGTGCCACATAGCACCACTGGTTTGTCTCCCTTCCAGATGGTATATGGAAGAATACCACCAAGACCATTATATTTGCTGAAAGAGATATGGACAGGTGAACGTAGCATTTCAGTTACACCTTCCCGTTCAATTGAAAATTATCTACGAGTACAAGACCTTTTAGAAAAATTAAGAAAAGCTCATGACATTGCATCAGCAAATTCCAAAATATCTCAAGAAGAGTACACTTCAAGATACAATTTACGTTCTCAAGAAAAGACTTTCAATGTTGGGGACAAAGTCCTCGTGCTAATGCCATCATCATCACATAAATTGCTCAACACGTGGCAAGGACCAGCTACTGTGATCAAACTTACCAGGCCACACTCTGCCAAAATCGAAATGGAAAACGGAAGTATTAGAGAACTCCATATAAATAAGTTAAGGCCTTATATTGCTCGTGTAGATCACGTTGGTATCATTTTTGACCAAGATGAAGAGTTTGGAGATATCCACTATGCACCAGCAGATCTTATGAATAAATCTGCTGATGATATCTGGACCCATTTACAAAATTTGAAAGGCGACTTAAAATATTACCAACGGGAAGGACTATTTAAAGTACTAAAATCTTATGTAGATGTTTTCAGTAGCAAACCTAGCTAATGTTGGTAGCAAACCTAGCTAATATTGCTAGCTAATGTTGGTCCACATCTTGCTTGCTTGTCAAGCTAATGTTGATGGTCATGACATCAAGGTTACAGAAGAATGTAATCCAAAACGATTGAGACCCTACCGTGTTCCTGTTTCACTTCAAGAGGAAGTCGATCGTCAAGTTAAAGAACTGTTAGAATGGGATCTTATAGAACCCAGTGACAGTGACTGGGCACATCCTATAGTATGTGTTGCAAAAAAGAATGGCGGCGTTAGACTGTGCATAGACTTCAGGCTTTTAAATAGCTTTAAGTTCCGCAGTTCCGGACGCCTATCCGATGAAGATTGCTAAAGATTTACTATTCGAAATAGGGAAAGCCAAATTCATAACAGTTCTCAATTTAACCAAGGGATATTGGCAAATTCCTATGAAAGAAGAAGCTAAACCCTACACAGCATTTATCACTGATTCCGGCCATTACCAATGGAAAGTTTTGCCTTTCGGTTTGAAAAATGCTGGAAGTACCTTCCAAAAATCGATGGATAAGGTGCTTGCAAACCATAAGAACTACTGCCATTCATATATTGAGGATGTGGCAATATTTTCTGAAACTTGGGATGGCCACCTCTATCACATCGATTAAGTGTTTCAGACACTGAGAAACGCAGGTCTAACCGCAAATCTAGAAAAGTGTGATTTCGGAAAGAGTCACGTGAAGTTTCTAGGACACGTAATAGGTTCTGGCACTGACTCTCCAGATCCTGAGAAGGTAGAAGTCATCAGAAATTGTCTAAGCCTACCACTAAAAAAGAAGTCAGAAGTCTTTTAGTGCTAGCAAGTTACTATAGGGATTATATCCCAAATTTTTCTGAGATTGTTTTACCTCTAACAAACCTTACAAAGAAGAGTGTTCCAAATAATATTCCATGGGACTGAAAAAGAAGCAGCTTTCAACAAACTTAATGAAGAGTTGATTAAAATGCCATCTCTGCATACTCCGGACATCAGCAAGCCCTTTCAACTCTATACGGATGCATCTGCTTTCGCAATTGATCGTGACTTGTAAAGATCGTGACTTAAAGAGAACGTGAAATATAAATAATAGGACAAGAACTTGCATTTTACGGTGTGGCAACAAGAAGAAAATTCGGAAGATTTTTTTTTTTTTGATAGTTGTAAGAGTTTTAACTGTAGTAGTTAAGAGTTTAAAATTTTAATAGTTAAGAGCTGCAGCATTTTATTTTTTGGTTCTGTTCTAAAATTCAAATGAAAGTATTTTGTTCATTCTGAAAATTTAGCTTTGTTCTTCCTACAAGGTTCAATATCCGTTATATTGAAGTAAGGAAAGATTTTTACTACATCTCTTCCACATCTTGCTCGCCGGTCCTCATTTATAAGGCAGAAGCTAGGTTTATCACTGAAAACTAAACTGTTCCGTTTGACTGTGGTGCTAAACTGTTGAAAATGTTAACTATGATGGCCCACTATTATGCGAAGCCGTCGTAAAGTTCGGCTGGACACCAAAATCGCCTCAGTTAGACTTAGAAGCTAAACCTGTAGTGTGATTGAGATATTGCTGAGCCTAACTAACCGTTAAGCTACAACCTTAGATGAAATGCCGAAGAAGAACACCCGGGTGAGTGGTCCAGGGTCTTCCAGCGCTCTTTTCCTACATTCAACCTGTTAACAGGATTTAGGCTTGGTGTGTATTGTTACGAAATGTACAGGCGCAGTAAGATGGCTTCCCCCTAAAACAGTTTTAGGGTTGCCATAAAATGGCAAGGGAAGGTAGGGTTGCCACATTTGGCGACAAAATTGGCGATATGCCATGGATGGATAGAGAACCTTCTGGAACAAATTCTTACCGGTTTTCCCAGAATGTTCTCGAACACAAGCCGAAAGCCATATAAACCCAGCTGGTCCGCAGTCAGTTAGTATCGAGTGTGGGCTTCATCGAGAGGGCAAGTCAAGAGTCCCTCGTCTCTGGAGTGCGAGAGAGTTAGTTGCGAGTTGGTGTCTCGTCTAGCGAGTCAATCGCTGCGGAGTCGATCGAGTTGGTAGCCGGGCAGCGAGTGCCGAGTGGGTCGTCGAGTGCATCGAGAGAAACATTCCGAAAACGACCGAGCAGAGTTGGGAGCAGTAATGTGGTGCTTTGCAGTGAAGCTGTCTCCACCGTGATAGCTTGATAACCTGAAAGCTGTATCGCTGATCGTGTCAGCGTGTTTATAACAGTTCGACGACTGTAAACGAGATTTTGGAGCTGTCCTGATTATAACCAGCCAATAAATTGTGTTTCGATACTTCATTCAGTGTCATCGTTATTCACTCCAAATCCACACGAACCCTGTACAAACGTGAAGGAAGAAAATAGCATAACAACTAGTGTCAAAAAAAAACACGCAGCAATTGGTGTCAGAAGTGGGATGAATTTCCACTTGCCAGTATCCACTCTTGAGGTCCAGGGTGGAAAACCATTTGTGTCCTGATAGGGTGTCTAGAGTATCGTCAATCGTGGGAAGAGGGTAACTGTCTTTCTTAGTGACATTATTTAGTCCCCGATAGTCGGCACAAAATCTTGTCGAGCCGTCTTTCTTCCGTACGAGAACTATAGGAGTTGCCCATGGACTTGTGGATGGTTCGATGATATCATTTTCTTGCATCTCCTTCAGAAGATTTTCAACCTCTTGTTTTGCGAAATGGTAAACGTCTGGAATGCTGTTTTATCAAAGAGTAATCCTCCGTATCAATTCGATGTTGCGTCAGTTTTGTGTGGCCAACATCTCTGGATGATCTAGAAAATAGATATTCAAATTCTTTAATTGTTTTCTCTGCCGCACATCTTTGTTCATGGGTTGAATTTGCACTCTGCAGAAGTTCTTCCATTAATTTCAATGTTCCCCCAGTGTACTCTTATACAGTTATCAAACCAAGCACATACGATGGAAAATCATCATGGAGTATATATAAGACCCAGTTCCATCGAAGCGGAAAATAACAAGTGGGACTCCCACATGAAGGCTTCGCCATTGGCTACGTCACTCCGAGGAGATGCTGTAGTCATCTTAAGGGTCCTCTCCGAAGACCAGATTTCAGACTTCAACGCCTTCTCGAATGCGCTGGAAATGAGTTTCGGGGAAAAGTGCGCAAAGGACTGTAGCC